CTGCTGCCTGCCCTGAGTCCTCCAAGGAGTATCTGGGCGATTGCACTGATCCACCGCAGCAGCCGGGGTGCACCCGGCACCCCTCTTCTGCACAAACACACATAGCCCTGCCATCACTGCCGTCCACAGCCCCTAGCATGGGCTCCCAAACCCTCCTCATCCTCACACTTGCAGGTACCACACGCACCCCACAGCACACTTTGGCTGGCAAGGCAGCAGCAAGGGGACAGCTCAAGTCCCAGCTGGCTTTGTAAACCTCACCCTATTCAAGAACCACGCGTCCAGGTCCAAAATCAGCCCGCAGATTTCCCAACAGCAGGCTGGCTTATGCAAGGCTCGCTGCCGTGCCTGTGCACTGTGCAGGGTGGTGCCTTCGTGGGTTCAGCCTGGACATCATCTCACTGCTACTTTAAGAGCCTGACGTTTAAATATACACGTGGCAAACACCACGGCAGTGTACATTCATATCCCTGAAACGTCACCCAGGGACTGAGAAAAATATCTGCTCAAGAGAATATTCTCTCGTTTGAAAGGAAACAACCTACCTCGGTTGTAGCTCACTGAAACAAAACCTGCTCTCATGTCAGTAAGACATACCAGACCCACTATGAGAACTGTTGTGGTGTTTGCTACATGTTTAACACCTCTAAAGGAGAGCTGTTTCCAGCTGACAAGCTCAGAAGAAAATAATATCGTTCATTTATTAAAGTCTTTAATCCCTTATATCCTTTTCCCTGCTATTTTGTTTTGTTGTTGATTTTGGAGAGAAAGCATTTGGAGGGCACTCAAGGCTGCCTCAGCCCCCCCTAGTGGCAGTAACAGCCTTCCCAGGCATTTGGGAGAGAAAAAACAAATTTTAAAAGCAAAATCTTTACAAAAGGGAAACAGTGCCTGCATGAAGGTGGATTGAAAATACCATGCATTTGATAATCCAGGTTGTTGCCATCCTTAGCGGCTCACGCCAGGAGGGCACGAGAGGAGGGCTCCCTGCCACCAGGTGGCACTGAGGAACACAGCAGAAACATTAAATTCCATGATTCTCAACAAATGTGTGGAAAAAGAAGTGAAATCACTTATTTTAGAAGCCTACTAAAAAGCTAGCTTTCTGCAGGCAAAAGCAGAGTGACCTGAAGAAGCAGTGTGGCACTGTGTGTTCTAAACTTTACATGTCATCTGTGCACTGCAGAATTTTCTACACACATGTCAAGAGATGTATGTTTCTATGTTTTTAACAGGTTAGTGTCTGGATATCGCAGAGGCCCAAATTAAACTAAAGCTTAGAGCATCTTGGCTCCTGTTTTCCTGTTGTCATCTTGATCTCTTTCAGCAGTGCCTCTTTACTACCCGTGGCATTGTTTATCTCTGCATTAAGGGTTAAATTCTGTGAGGTGCTCAGCACCAACAAACTCTACTAGATTCA